TTCAGGTGCCACCGAACAGCAGCAGCAGAGACAATCTCTGAAAAATTGCGTCACGGACTCCGTAGTTTTCTGGAAAGTTTTTTTTAACAAGTTAAGAAAGAAGGTGAACGTGTTACCTAAATCACGTCTTTTTTACTAATTAATTATAATTAACGTGTTAAAGTCCCAGTCCTAATTTGTTTATGACCCTAACCCTATTTTGCAGGGAGACGATGAAGCAGCCTTTGGAGATTCTGTTGAAGGAACTACTGTGGGGATCTTCACAATAAAAAGACACGAAGCCCAGCCTGGCCCAGATTATGTTGGAATTGTCCTGGAAGGCCATATCGTCATCCAGGAGCTGGACAATCTTCCACTGGCTTTTGCTCTGCTGTTTGGGCTTTTGTACTGTTTAAACATGGATTAACCTCATCAACTCAGGTACACTTTTGAAGTCTTCCAGAAAGTACTTACGGAGCTAGATGCTGCCTCACTTTCAAAGAAAGCCCAGGTCTTGAAGAATAGACTCTGTGAGTAATGCCAACTTGTGAGTACAACCTGCACAGTGGATTACTGCTGTTCTATTTTTACTACTCTGCAAACACGCACACATACAGTTTTTAATACATTTTCAACACATACAACAGCACAAACCAGCCATTGCCTATGCGTTATGTCACCCGTTCAGAGACTTTAAGATATGCAAGTTTGTCACTCAAGTGGCTAAAGGTTAAGTGTGGATCTACTGTGATCAGAGTTTTCACTGTATTCTTTGGTGTGTTCTTTCTGAGTTGGGTTTCTAATTCCATTTTTAGTTCTTTTTAAAACACAGGAAAGGCTTTTCTTTACCTGCTAACGTTTCATTTGCGGTAGCAAACATCGTCAGAGCTGACGCTGAAGGTGGCGTCACTTCCTTCTCAGTTTATGTGTGCGGATAAACGGATAAATGTGTGTGTGTGTGTACATATATATATGTGTGTGTATATATATATATATATATGTATATGTGTATATATATATATATATATATATATATATATATATATATATATATATATATATATATATATATATATATATAAATGTATATGTGTATATATATATATGTGTGCATATACAGGTGCTGGCCAGTAAATTAGAATATCATCAAAAGGTTGAAAATATTTCAGTAATTCCATTCAAAACGTGAAACTTGTACATTATATTCATGCAATGCACACAGACCAATGTATTTCCAATGTTCATTACATTTAAATTTGATATTTATAGGTGACAACCAATGAAAACATCAAATCTGGTATCTCAGAAAATTAGAATATTCTAAAGGCCAATGAAAAAATGTTTGTTTCTCTAATGTTGGCCAACTGAAAAGAATGAACATGAAAAGAATGTGCATGTATAGCACTCAATACTTAGTCGGGGCTCCTTTTGCCTCAATAACTGCAGTAATGCGGCGTGGCATGGACTCGATCAGTCTGTGGCACTGCTCAGGTGTTATGAGAGCCCAGGTTGCTCTGATAGTCGTCTTCAGCTCCTCTGCATTGTTGGGTCTAGCGTATTGCATCCTCCGCTTCACAATACCCCATAGATTTTCTATGGGGTTAAGGTCAGGCGAGTTTGCTGGCCAATCAAGGACAGGGATACCATGGTCCTTGAACCAGGTGCTGGTGGTTTTGGCACTGTGTGCAGGTGCCAAGTCCTGTTGAAAGGTGAAGTCTGCATCCCCATAAAGTTGGTCAGCAGCAGGAAGCATGAAGTGCTCTAAAACTTCCTGGTAGACGGCTGCATTGACCCTGGACCTCAGGAAACAGAGTGGGCCAACACCGGCAGATGACATGGCACCCCACACCATCACTGACGGTGGAAACTTTACACTGGACCTCATGCAACGTGGATTCTGTGCTTCTCCGCTCTTCCTCCAGACTCTGGGTCCTTGATTTCCAAAGGAAATGCAGAACTTGCTTTCATCAGAAAACATAACTTTGGACCACTCAGCATCAGTCCAGTCCTTTTTGTCCTTGGCCCAGGCGAGACGCTTCTTGCGCTGTTTCTTGTTCAAGAGTGGCTTGACACACGGAATGCGACACCTGAATCCCATGTCTTTCATGAGTCTCCTCGTGGTGGTTCTTGAAGCGCTGACTCCAGCTGCAGTCCACTCTTTGTGGATCTCCCCCACATTTTTGAATGGGTTTGTCGTCACAATTCTCTGCAGGGTGCGGTTATCCCTAGAGCTTGTACACTTTTTTCTACCACATTTTTTCCGTCCCTTCGCCTGTCTGTTAATGTGCTTGGACACAGAGCTCTGCGAACAGCCAGCTTCTTTAGCAATCACCTTTTGTGTCTTGCCCTCCTTGTGCAAGGTGTCAATGATTGTCTTTTGGACAGCTGTTAAGTCAGAAGTCTTCCCCATGATTGTGGTGCCTTCAAAACAAGACTGAGGGACCTTTTAAAGGCCTTTGCAGGTGTTTTGAGTAAATCAGCTGATTAGAGTGGCAGCAGGTGTCTTCTATATTCAGCCTTTTCAGAATATTCTAATTTTTTGAGATACCAAATTTGGAGTTTTCATTAGTTGTCACTTATGAATATCAAATTTAAATGTAATGAACATTGGAAATACATTGGTCTGTGTGCATTGCATGAATATAATGTACAAGTTTCACGTTTTGAATGGAATTACTGAAATATTTTCAACCTTTTGATGATATTCTAATTTACTGGCCAGCACCTGTATATATATATATATGAGAACACTGCATCTGAAATGTGTAAATGAAATGTAATTTCATTACAAGCTCATAACATAAAATATGTCCTTACAGCATGTATGTAACATGTCAGATTTACATAACTACATCATGTACATTCGGTTAAGTGAGATTAAATTATGTTTTGGTTTTATAATTTTTTTATTTAGTGGCAACATGTTAAATACATGTTGGATTTACGTAATTGAATCATGTACATTCGGTTGCGCAAGATTAAATTATGTTTTGGTTTATAATTTTTTTATTTAGTGGAAACATGTTAAATACATGTTGGATTTACGTAATTGAATCATGTACATTCGATTGCGTGAGATTCGATTATGTTTTGGTTTTATAATGTTTTTATGTAGTGACAACATGTTAAATGTATGTTGTACTAACATGAAATGTTCCTGTTTAATTAACATGTATTTAACATGTTGGCATTACATTAAGAAGTTATAAAATCAAAACATAATCTAATTTCATGCAACCGATGTACATGATTCAATTATGTAAATCCAACAGATCTTTTTTTTCAGTGCAGGTGGTAGAGCGGGTTGCCTCATGATCGGAGGGTCATGGGTTCGATTCCTGCTCCCACCAGGGGTATCCTGCTGTTGTGTCCCTGGGAAAGACACTTCACCCAACTTGCCTGTGTTAGTGGTGGTCAGAGGGGCCGACGGCGCCAAATGGCAGCCTCACCTCTGTCAGACCTCCCCAGGGCGGCTGTGGCTACAAGTAGCTTACCATCACTAGCAGTGTGTGAATGTGAGAGTGTGTGGAAAGCATCTTTGGGTGTCTAGAAAAGCGCTATATAAGTTCAATGCATTATTATTATTATTATTAATTAATGCCACAGCAAGTCATTTTGTCCAACAATTGCACTAAAAATATCCAAAAAAAGAACACACAAACACAGAGACTCAAAATGCCGGAGCAGTTTCCAAGCCAGACCGAGGCTCTACTGAGGCCTTTCCACGGAGCTAGCTCTGTGGTCACGTGGGTCTGATGCTCATTAATTATACAGAATTTTAGGCTTTTAATACACAAACAGAAGAGTGAGAAAAAATTCACCCCCCTCATAGTTGTCATGAGTGTAAACTAGATCATTTAAACAAAAAACATGTTTTGGTACCAGGCTGTAAACATGTTTATTTCTGCTGTGAAATTGGTATTTTTAACATGGGAGTCAATGAGGATTTGCTCGCTTCTGACACCAGCCCCCAGCGGATGAGGGTGGAACTGCAATTTAGTTCATTTCCGGGTTTGCCTCAACTTTAGAGCTGCATTGTGTGGGCTTGGTTAGCTGTAATGTAAGCTAGTTGATGACTACAGGGTAACAACAGGAGTCTGGGTCAATTGTAACAACCAGGAAAATGTTACAACTTACCCAAATTAAAAAAAATTCTTTTATTTTGATGTTTTATTTGAATTTCAGCATGCCCACAAATTGGAAAAGGAAGACTGACCAATGGGTGCCTCTCTGCATTCTGGAGAAAGCATCCAATGATGTTAAAAGTCAGGGAAAGTCTATCAGATCAGTGGCAAAAAAGTTTGGTATTTGCACAAAAAAAAAAAAAAACAAGACAAAAACACCCAACCAAACCAACAAATATGCATGAGCTCTAAGAAAACATCCAGAAAGAAAAATCAGAAAAAGAAAGACATGAAACTAGAGAACACGGATTCTGATGAGAACATTTGGTGAATCTTGCACATGTTGTTAAATGTTATTACAACAATGTTCAAGTGCCATTCATGCTTCACTGTTCCTCTCTCTGTCACACGCACACGCACACTCACACGCACACGCGCGCACACGCACACACACACACACACACACACACACACACACACACACACACACACACACACACACACACACACACACACACACACACACACACACACACACACACACTGAGCCAGTATCCTGTGGAGGTTTCTTCCTGTTAAAAGGGAGTTTTCCTCTCCACTGTCGCTAAATGCTTGCTTAGTATGAGTATTGCTGACACTAGTCAATGACTCAATGCAATTTGCTGGGTTCCTATAGGAAACTTTTTTCTGATTGGCTTAATGAAATGACCTGTATTGGAATGTTTACCATGTTAAGTGCCTTGAGACGACTCTTCGTGATTTGGCGCATTATAAATTAACTTGAATTGAATTGAATTAAAATGGTCTGGATTATTATCTGTTCTGTTTACCTCGGCTTCAAAGGTTTCACGGGTATGGACGTAGTGCTTATTTGTGGTCTTAAACTGTTTGTTCGACACAACAATCTTGGGTGTACATTTTCTAAGCAAGCAATGAGCTTCAGAGTCAGAAACGGAAGAATAATTTACGCCCGAGAGGCAACAGATGAAAACAAGTAGGAGAGGCATCCTGCTCCGCCCCAAGCACCGGCGTCACGCTTCTCTCGATCGGATGTGGTTAACGGGTCAAACCGACAGAGCGGCTAGTGGCGACGGTAGAACTTCAACACATTCGAGGTAAACTGAGTATTTCAAGCAAACTGGAGGGGAGAGGATGTGAGGGACCGCATAATGGTAGCTGACGACAACGCTAACGTTGTTGACCGCTGTTGTCGGCGGCAGGGTTTGTAGCAGCTAGCTAATGTTGCGAGCCCGTGTCTGAGCTGATAGCTGAACTTCGCAGCAACTCGCCGACCCGAGTCCGCTCAGGCAGCCGCAGCACGGCAGCGCCAGCCGGGTAAGTGTGTTTATTAACTGGGTCTTGTTGTAAACAAACCGACTTGTTTGGCTGTATGACTTTAGCAGTGCCATGACAGGACTAGTTAGATAGCACTGTAAAACCCGCAATTGTCAAAACACGAGTAACCCTTAACGTTTGTTATGCTTGCATGACAACATGTCATCTTGACTCAAACTTCCCTGATTTGTGAACTTATTTTGTTAGTTCAGTGGAATTGAACTAAATAGTATTGACCTCAATTAATGGCTAAATTAAAGCTGTCCAAATTTTCCTTTTGAGTTGTATTATTCCAGTTTATTTATTATTTATTTGGGTAAATCAAAGCAGATTTAGTTATTGTCTTGTCATCTGAATAAAATTCTAAGTTGACTGATTTAAATGATTAAACCTTCAATGAATTGCTGTATCAGACATTTCTGTATTCATAGTCTAAATTATTTTTTTCTTACTTCAAAAAATACAAATTGCTGCATAGGCAAAAAATACATCATTAACTGAGAAATGTTCATAAAACCAAATTATCTATATGTTAAACCACAAATTTCTCCATAGTTGTTATTGAATTATTATGACTCACTCCATATGGCCAGTGTTTTTTAAGGCTTGAGTCTATAATGGATCAAAACTCAACTCACAAATGATTTAAACTCTTTCACTTGTTCACTTGTTGTTTTAGTGATGCACCGATATGGGATTTTTGGGCCAATACTGATATCCGATATTAAGATCACTATTATGGCCGATAACCGATATTTGCCAATACCGATATACTGACATTAATCCTTCTAAAATAAGCAGATTTTGTATAGAATGAAAATTAGTAAAGCTGCATTTACGTTATTATGCACACACACCACACACATTTACGATTCTGAGATGATTACATTCACTGTTCACTAGGAATGGGACGATCTACTTAAACTCACGATACGATGCACCTTGATATGTCTGAGTCATGAAACGATACATCACAATATGATATCAAATAAGAAAAAAAGGAAAAAAAATATTACTGTATAATAACAACTTGTTTATTTCTTTTTCCAGTTGCACACAGGGAAACACAAGGCCTAACAGGCCAAACACAAACAGGAACACCCTTAGTACTGCTTTAAGCCTTGGTTAACTTATCTCAGGACTGGTTCTTCTTCAAAAAAACTAACATATCCACATATTCTGGTGTAATCAGTGATCTTTGAGCAGACACAATGTCTCCTGCCGTGGAAAAGACACGCTCACTGGGCACTGATGTAGCAGGAATGCAAAGGTAGGCTTTGGCAAGGGGGGCAAGTATGGGGTAAGCATAAGCATTAACTTTCCACCACTCAAGTGGACTTCTGTTGAGTGGGATGGGAATCCCTCTCCTGTAGGAGAGTATCTCCATTTCAATCCCTCTGCTGGTCTGCGCTGTCTCAACAGTAGTGTAGGAGCTCCCAAGGAGGTCTTCCAACTAGGGCTGCAACAAACGATTATTTGGATAATCGATGAATCGGATGGGGTCTCGACACGATTAATCGATTAATCGGATTACATGGGGACATTTAGAAAAACTGCTAGGGAAACGTTATTTCTCTCCTCCCTTCACTTTATTAAACACAACATTATTAGAAAACAGTTCAATAGCAGAAAAACAACATGTCATTACCTAAATTGTCTTATAAGGTGTATAGACAGAGACCCTAAGCTACACCTATCTGTGACCTAAAATGCTTGGTCCAAGTTAAACAGCTTAAAGAGCAAGTCAACCCCTACCAGAGTCTAACTCCACTCCCACTTCATGTTTGAAAAATGCAACACATGCTGTTGCCTGGCAGACCGAGAGGGCGGAGCCGCTAACAAATACACACACACTCAGGCTCACGACAGCATTGTGACATCATAATGTACCAGTTTACATCATAGCATACTTCTTAGCCAATAGCGGTGGCAGATTTAAATTAAAATACAGTGCAGAGTTTTTACCTGACAACGGCACAACACTGCCAGTTTTAGGCAGAATATTTAAATTTGAACTAAGATGCACTGAAGTGCCAAATTATTGACGATACGTGTCTGCAGCACGATTAGACACTCGTTTATTTAGTTTATCAGCAAAAAAAGTTTATTTGGGGGTGACTTGCTCTTTAAGGGCAATTCTCATCTGTTTTGTTTGATCTCATCTGTAGACATTTATTATAATTGGGGACGTCAAACAACTTCTTTTTAAATGTAATTAAACATAGGCTGTGAATTAATCAAAATTAATCACTACTTCCAAAAATGACTGAAAAAATACCAAATAAAACAAAAGTAAATGAATGCCATCCTCCTTGTGATGATGCCCTGGGCAACTGCCATAAAGTCATATCAAGAAATGCTGCTGATCATTCCAATGATCCCAAATAGACTCTTATTAGGCCACATGAAAGCAACTGAACCCAAAAATATATTAACCAGTATATAACTGCACTCTCACACAACACGCCTGCAGCAACAGTTAGGACTCCTCTCTCCCTTTTAAAAGCGTTTTCGCTTCCGAGGACACTGTGGTTGTAAAACCACATGCTAGTGGTCTGGCCCCGGTGTGATCAACCACTTTCTGCGGGAATGTGACGGCGGAACCGGTTCGCAGCAGCGCGAGTCCCCCCCCCCGCTGCCGCCTATCCAATAGCGTCGCGTTTACGATATTATAGACTTTTTTTTACGAGCTTAGGGCATGTCTAGCGTGTGTAATAATCCGGGGCTTGGGTGAATCACTTTTGAAAAGTTTTTAACTTACCCGGACACAGAGCTCTCTCCTTCCTCGCTGATGATTCTGACATGCTTGCGTTTAAGATGCTGCATCATCACTGCAGTACTCCCGTGCCATGCTAAGTCTGACCTACAAACGTTGCAGGTAACGAATGTCTTCGCCTGATTTAACTGAAAATGCTCCCAAACTTTAGAAGTTTTTACTTTTTTTGGGTCCCGCTGCTTCTGCCATGTTCCTCTTCCAAGCACCTGCCGGCTCTCCGGTCTGCGCACAACGGCGGGCGGGAGGGGAGGGGGCTTTTGGAAGAGTTGTGCAACACAACAAATCGATGACGCAATTCGTTGCCAATGCTTTTAGTAATCGAATTTATCGATTCGTTGTTGCAGCCCTAATCTATATTTCAAGTTTTTAATGAAATGTTTCAGCTTTATGTAGGCTGTGGTGGTTCGTATTTTTTTTTTAAGTTTTTACACATGGGTTTCAATTAGGTCTTTACTGGAAGCAGATGATCACTGACACACATGTTATGGGGAAAGTACATTTGTCTTGTAATTTGGGGTCATGTGTAGCACAACGCTTAATTCAGATCAAACACAAAGCTGCGCTGTCAATTGATGATGTTTAGATTAAGGAGGTTAGAAACGATAAAGGAAAAGGAAAAAAAAACACCCCAAAAAATCTAAGATATTTCATTTTCCATCACATTTATGCTTCTATCCGATGTCCACCACAATTCATCCCAAGTCGCAGTATTTAGATTTTAGATATTTTATTTTTGTTAAGGCAAGGCAGCTTTATTTATGTTTATGTTTATGTATTTAGAAGACGCTTTTGTCCAAAGCAACTTACAAGTGATAACGAAGCCAGCAGGTTGCCCTTGGGACTAACAACAAAATACTAATCAGTCAGTTCTAGGTGGCAGTGAGGCAGCATAATGAATCATGATGGGAAGTGAACAAGGAGTGCACAGTAGAGTGGGGGACAGGTGCATTGAGGGTCCTAGATTAAAAGATGCTCTCTGAAAAGCAGGGTCTTCAGGAGTTTCTTGAAAATCAACATCTGGTAGTGCTTTATATAGAACATTTCATACACAGAAGCAATTCAATGTGCTTTCCAGTTGCAAGTACAAGAACATAAAACAGGGTCTTACCTGAGCTTAACTGACACCTGTGTGCATGTTTGAATTGGTAACATAACTCTTTCGCTGCCATTGACGACAAAAGTTTTCATTTTAAATCCAGCCTCTCGCTGTCATTGGCATTTTGTTATGAAGAGGGCATCAGAACGAGCCCCCGCTCCGTGAGAATAAACATCACATCTCTAAAGCTGATCTTTATCCGCGTATGTCACACATCATGTGATCAGGAAGCAGAAAATCCATGAATTAGGAGATCATTTCGGGCTTCTGCTGTGAAAATGCGAGGCACAAACCGAAAAAGCTTCTGCAGCTCACAATTTGACAAGAGATTATGAAAAAAGAGATAATACACGCTTATTCTTCCTGATGTAAGAAGTGAGTCTATTCTTTCTTTTGGTAGTTTTGGCGTTGACCTGGTGCAGGGTGTGAGCATTAAAACACAACCCTGTCCAGCCGCAGCCAAGCGGACGCTTTCCCAAAGAGAACGGGACATGATGGAAACTTCTGAACCAGAGTCCAAGATAGCCAGACAACAGAACAGAAACCCAGAAAGAGATTTTTAACTATAGAAATATAAACTAACATGAAGTGTTATGATTTGAAAAGACTGGATAGGCTCGCCCATTATATGTATCGTTAAGGAGTGACTATATATGTTTAAAAATGATCAATAAGATGTGAAAATCCCATATAAATATGAAATATCAATCCGATCGATATTTGAATGTTTAGTCAGAAGATTCTAGTTTCTTTTACTTGTTCAGGGACCATAAACACACTTCGTATTAATTCAGACAGTCGAGTATATAGTTTATAAAAATGAATTTATTTAAATTTCCCTAAACTAATGATTATGCATGACCAGGTATGAATGAAATGATGGAATGTAATGGATAGTGATTGAATTTGATGACATCATCATAGAGCACAATGTTGTATGACTCTTCAAAAGATGGTTAAAACGCTGGCAGCCAGGGGCTTTTCTGATCAGGAAAGGGCTGGCATTGAATGAGTTAATGTTTACATTATTGACAGCCATCAAGTCATGTGACTTGCGGATGACACGAAGCGTGTTTCCATTGTTGAACAGGGTTTCCCCCAGCGCTTTATAAGCCTGGCGGCCCGCCA